CTCTCTTTTATTTTAAAGAGAGAAAAAACCAATAAAAATGATACAGAATTTCAAAACAAGATGATAGGAAATTTACAATGGTTTTATATTGCATGCTGTTATCTTCAAAGTAGTTGCTCAGATTACAAGATATAGGCATGCAAAATTGATCTAACAATATAAGCTTTAACTGTTCCTTTCAATGAACTAATAGAAATTAGTGGTACAATTACCTTAGCTATCTTGTGTATATATATACATACCTTTTTTCCCTTCCTTCTTTTCTCTTTTTCCCTATCCCAGTTGTTTTCACCTTTTGAGCAGTTTCTTTCCCTTTCACAATATCTGTTGTACCTTTTGGGTCTTACTCTTTCAGGTTCTTACACTATGGAGACAATATGATGTTTACACATGTGAGTCTGGTTTATTGTGTTTATGTGCAGGTCTCTAGTGGTATGCATATTTACTTCTTATATATTTATCTATGAGTGTTCTATAGGACTGTGAGCTGGATTAAGGTTCCTACATATCAATAGGGTCAAGGACTAAGCTCAACCAGGTCTGTCCCCTCAACGCCAAATGAGATCATAGGTTACTTCACGTTCATCTGCAAGATATGATATAAAGAGATGCTAGATGGAAATCATCTTTAACATGTTGGAATTCATCATGTAATAAATGTTGAGAAAAATCTTGCTGTGTGTTAAAGAATGCAGACATATCTAGTTCAACTTCATTGGTAGTGTTGTGTGTGTACGAGCACCCGCAGACTACCCACACATCAGGGTGATGTACTGGATCTCTTCATTTCCCCATCACTAACTTTATGAGTCTACATTTTTATAAATGGAAAAGTTTTTCTTTTAGGAATGCTATTTTTAAATGACCAGATATTATACACATTACAGTATAAATTTCTTTATCTGAAATACTTACATTTCCATAAAATCCTTTCTATATGTACATGTGCAAGGTATGCATATACATATATATTCCTCTTTTTGCTATACTTAGCCTCCGCTCTGAGCCATTCTAGAGATGCTGAGTGAGTTTTTAGGGAGTCTAATTTATAAGCCTGGGACTCATTAACCTTTGATGGGCGCATTAAACTTTAAAATAAGCCTCAGTCCATAAATAAAAAAAAATAATTCTCAGCAGTCTTTCTCTGAGCAAGCTGAAATTCTGTGGTAAGGGTAAAAGTTACTATGGATGTATAAAGGGCAATAAGATAATTTTAAAAGACAAGATGATCTTAAAGAAGACAAATGCATGTTAAAGAGTAAGACAGTCAATTTAGCATATACTGCCAAACTAAAATATAAATTAAGATTTACTGCATAGGTATTCAGATATCATTAGAGTCAAGTGAGTTCTTTGCTTTGATACTTTGATTTTGCAAGCTTTAGCTAAACTGCTGCTAAGAATATTTGTTTTCTATTGCTATAGTTTATGACTGACAATATTTTCATGTCTTATTTCTCAATCATTATCTTGAAATATTGTAGGAAGACCTGCACACCATGCAAGACTTCACTCTGAGTGTAAAAGGTGGGCCGTGTTCTATGAGCATCTTATAAAGTGCCATCTTGGGATATATAACAACATCTGTGGAAAGGGTGGGCGATGATGCCACTTTTCTAATAGCAAAAACAAAACAGGCTACCCAAGTGTCCAATTAGCCTAAATGGAAGATGCTAAAATTGAGAAGTCAACAGAGACACAAGCTGTCCCTCTGGGCTTTTGCCATTAAGAGTCAATTGCCCATTTGAAATTTTGTAGGATTTGAGATTATGTACACATGTTAAAACAACAGTCTATTGGACAGTAGGAAATGCACGTGTTCTTGGTCAAAGTTTTATGCTCTTATATCAGCAAATTTTAACTTCAGGTAGCATCTGGTCCAAGTAGAACACAAGACTATATTCATTATTACCAGTATGTTCCTCTCAAGTGGCCCAGTGGAGTCAATATGTAATGCAAAAAATAAGGGAAAATAATCTCCTTAACCTGCTGGAGTGCCCCCATATGATGGGGCTTGTACAAAATTTTGTGCATTCTATGTTAAAGAAGTCATAAGGCATATCTAAGAAAGAGTGCATTAAAATAGTACTGGAAGAATATTAACAATGGATTTCAGTTTACCAAGAAACAAAGTACCTAGCAAAATCAATAAAAATTAACCTCTAGTGAATTTAACTTAAAATAATTTATAAAAACCTGAATTTGAATTATTTTCTGATCTTTTTGTTATTACCTCCTCAATTGTATTATAGCCCACCTCTTGGGTCTAGGCAGTTAAAAGCTGTTGGACTTTCAAAATCTGTTTCTGTAATTGTACTTCAGCAAAAGCTTTTGTAACATTTGAGGAAACAAAAAGCTCATTAATATTTATTTTAAAAACAAAATGCCTTTAAATGTTTTATTTATAGATAAAAATATTCCCTCTTTCCTAACTAGGGGAAAAAAACCTCAAGTTGTTTTGGAACAGAATCAATATGAATTAAAAACAATATTGCATGATAATGATTTGTTTTTTTAATTTAATTTAATTTTAAAGAAAAGAAAAATAAACAGAAAAAACAATGGTATAAAATCTCAAAGCAAGGTTGTAGGAGAGTAGCAATGGTTGAATGTAATTTGTAATGTGCCATATAACTCCAATGAGAAAAATAGATCTACTTTACAGTGTTCTAATTTTCTGCACTAACATCAAGGTTAATATATTCCAGATGGCCTACTTACTTTCATTAAGAACTATTAGTATCAAAACTGTTTAAACTAACAACAATTCATCATTCTAATTGGTTTTTCTAAGAGTTAATATGGATTATGCAAGACAGGAACGATATCCTGAGCATTGCTGTAACTTAGAATCAGAAAAATCTGCTGTTATCTCAAAGGCACACTGGGTCCTTAGTATAGGGGGTGATCAGCTGGTCTAGACTAGTCCAGTCAAGGCCTTCTGATAGTTTTTCTCCCAAGAGTTTGGGAGTTGAGGAGAGACACGGACAGGCCATGGTTATTGGTGTTGAATAGTGTTGGTCACTGAATCATGTTCTCTGGAGCTGCCCTTCATCATAGACTGCTTCTTCACCCATTCCTTCAATTCTCTTAGTGAACTTCCTCTCCCTTGATGGGTTTTCTGTCTGAGTAAGAATTCTACTAAGTCATCACAGCAGCGAGCCAATATGGCGCGGGCCATAGGAAGCCATGTGTCAAGCCCAGCCTTTCTCCCCGCTGGTCGAATTACAACTTCCTACATCCTTTTTACAACATCCTGTTTCTTTTTTCCCACCCCCTACCCAATCACTGTCTGCTGTATCACACAGACAGCCCCCTAAACCCCACCCCCAGCCTGGCCCTATATAGCCATTGTTCTCCTGGTCAGGCCCTCCGAATGTCCATGTCTCTCTTCCTTTTTATGGTCTTCTCCATCCCCTCAATAAAGACATTTTTACTTCATTTTGTTTTTTACTTATGACAAAAGAACCTAACATCCCTCACTTTTGGCCTTCTATCTGCTACAGGAAAACAGCAACACTAAAACATAACTGATAATATTAACTTTGCACCTTAATCTCTTTGTCTCAAAACTGGACCACTGGCAGTAAGCACGAACATACTGTTATTTAAAATGTGTTAATGGTCTACTTTGTTTTTATTGGTTTTAACATTAAATATGAGCCATAGAAGAACTGATATCTTTCTGCTATTGAGTCAAATGGAGAAGCAGAAACAGGATTTTATTATCTCAGAGAAGAATTCTTTTACCTCATCACCTTTCTCCCCAGGCATTCCAGGGTAGCCTCTCTCTCCTTTGGTTCCCTGAAAAGAAAGTTAGCTTTAGCTAGTATGCTCAACCACTGTTATCTTTTGAACAGTGGAAAACACCTATCAGAATGCTTGGCATATACAATTTGGAAAGAATCAGGGACCAGAACAATGGTGACATTTCCAAGTGGCTTTTTATCCTACTTTCTCAAAATATGCTTTGCAAAAACCTGGTATATTTTAGAACAGGGTTTTCTTTGTTTACATTGAATTGAAAATCTCACAGAGGACTTTCTTACCTTTGGCCCCTCTCTGCCTGGGATTCCTGGAGGACCCCTTGGCCCCATATCACCCTAGAGGACAGAGAATAAAAGGACTGAGAATGCACTCTATGTATGCATGGGGCTGGGCAGCAGCAGTGGCCTGCTTACCTTGCGCGCTAGAGAATCATACTTCCCAGGCTCTCCCACACCTCCTTCATCGCCTTTGTTGCTTTTCAGTCCAGGAACGTTGGCTTGGCAGTTGCCACAAACGTTCTAATGAGTATAAAAAGAAGGTTACTAAGAGATTCACAGAAATAATTTGCCAAAGAGAGGTTTGGTCTGACTTGAAGTTCTGTTTGAGTTTTTATCAGACATGAGTGAAACAGCAGTCGTGAGGTCACTCTGTGTTCAGAAATTTATTTCTTTAATTTGAAGAGATTACTTTTTGGAGGCAAAAACTGTTTGCAAAGCTAATTAGTGATGTCTGTTTATGAGACGAGTGAGATTTTTTTAAAAAAAATCTTTTGATAATATTTAAATGAAAAATTCCAAATAAATAAGGAAAAGACTCATATGTCAAGAACACAGACTAATTTTTCATTTGCTCAGAAGCATAATTAACAAGGGAGATAGAATCAAAGCATAAAATAACCAGCAAGATTACAGAGCTCCTACAACCAGTGGTGTAAGTCTCTAAAAGGCAAGAAAAGATTTCTCCTTCAAGACATAAAATGAGTTGGTGAACCCTCCACAGTTTACTAAGATGCTGTCTGCAGAAGCACTCGCGTGAAGAACAGTTCCTGGAGTGACTTGGATTTGACTTTGACATCAGATCCAAGGGAAAATAGAAATTTAAGTGCAATTGCCTTTCCATTGGCTTTGTTCTTTCATCTGGAAAGGCTTGAATCTAAGTGTCTGTGAGTTTGTAAGATAAACATAAGTCTTATCACACAACTAAGGAACAAGTGTCTGGGAAAAGTCCTTATAAAGAAAGGCATATTTTTAAATAAATTGTTGGAGTAAGAATTTGCCCTGGAAAGGGGGGAATGAAGACCGCTGAACAGAGGAGACAGTTGAGCAGCTGACAAAGGGTAGGAGAAGATGAGCCTTAATTTTTCATCTTTTTCCACAGAAGGGAGCACCTTTAAACAGGCAAAGAGAACTGAAGTTCCCATTGATGACAAAGCCCAAGCCTATGCATGTCCAATGTTTTTGACCTGGTGATTTATCAACATAGGTCTCATGCCCCCCAAAAAGTTGCTTGAAACACTAATTTTGCATGACATTGAGAAAGCTTGAAGGCAAATTGTCTCAAAAATGCTGCATTAAATAGTTTTCTTCATGGGAGCCTTCTTAGTAGATTCTGAGTATAAAACAGGGAGTTAGAATTATGTGTAACATTTCCCAAACTGCTTTCAGGATTAGGATTATTTCAAAGGGCTGATGTATTGGTAGGAGAGTTAAAAAATATATATATATATATATATAATTATACTACTACCATTGACTATCTATCTATCTATCATCTATCTATTATCTATGTATCATCTATCTATCTATCTATCTATCATCTATCTATCTATCTATCTATCTATCATCTATCTAATAAAACATGATTACAGAGAAATGCTTGTGGGCTTAAGAGAACCCAAATGTTTTTCATGCTTCAAAAGCCTGAAAAAGATGGAACGTATATATAGACATAAATATGTGTAATGGAGTAAAACCTCAGGGTATCAATATGCAGAAAAATTTTACAATGAATTATTCACTTGATAGTTTCACTAAAATATTAAAAAATGATAATCATTATGCATCAAAGACTTTTCCAAGACTCACTGGAAATTGGCCTCATTTTTTCTAGCCTAGGTTTACCTCATGATAAATTAAGGGAAACTGGGTTTAATATTCTTAAAAAATGACTTAAGATTTTCTTATATGAAGAATAAAATGGCTTCAACTCATAACCAAAGCACAGTATCATTCAAATAGGGAGTCACTCCCATATTAGCTTAGAAAGGTCTGAGAGTTATTATTTGGCCTTGGCAGTTATACCAGTTTCTTTTAGGGCCTGAATTAAAGGTATTGAAAGCAGAAATCAGGGTGACTGAGTTAACTCAAAACTCAAGGTGGAGAGGCCAAGCTAGTGTGTTGGGTAACAGAATCAGGATAGAAACATTACCTTATTACATTGGACTAATAAGTCAACCTCAAAAAAAATTCCTGTGTTTGGATTTTATTTGGGGATCCACATCCTTCTCCCTTATCCCAAATGAAGCTCCAGTTCCTGTTCTTGTCAGAGTCTAGTCAGAATTTTTGTCTTCACTAGAAGCCATCTTGGATTCCATCAGCACATTGCTGACTAAGTGCACATCTTTCTGTTCCTTAAAGAATCATAACTATTCTGAGATGATGTAACTCCACAATCCTATTTCCAACACTACTCCCCTTGGAAAGATCCAGTACTTATCAAGGACCTATGTTCGGGTATCAATGTTACACTTATTAGCTATGTTGCTGAGCAAGTTGCTTAATGGCTTGAGACTTCAGCCTTCTCAGACATAAGGGAATGCTAAAGAAGCCTCAAATTATAGCATCATTGTGAAGAATAAATATGATTAAGTAAAGCCTTACATTGATTGCCATGTAATTGTAACTCAGTAAATACAAGCTCTTCCTCAAATCCTCCCAGTCTTTTCTCTCTTAGGAAAATACTGTGTTATAGAGATCCTAAAACCTCTACATTGTATTTATGTTCATATTGAATTCATGTTTATATGTCTAGTTCTCAAAACTCTAAATCACCCAGTAATTACATCCACTAGAATTCTTGAGCTTTTGATTGATTTAATTCCATAAATATTTCTGTATGCCTACTACTGTGCAAGTCTTTATGTAAATCATTGGATGCATACACAGCTATGGCTAAGTGTGTGTACACTGTCCATCATAAGCCATAGGAGTATAAAGTATATAAGCATAAACTAAAGAGCTAGAATTTCATCGGGATTCATCAATCCTAGCATACCACACAGAAACATATAAATGTATAACCTTCCCATCCATTATCAGACCTCTCAGTCTTACTATCACTTCTTCCATTCATATGGATAAAATACAGCAAAGTATTAGAAAATCATAGCAGATTCATTTTTTGAGATAGCTAGCCAGATATAATTTTTACTCGACAAAGTAATAGGTGTTATAGCAATGATTGGATTTGGGAATTTTATGGCTTATTTTTGTAAAATCCCATGACATAAAAACTCTACCTGTAAGCTAGCTGATTGGGCAGCACTGGCTCTCATCCTGGGACCAGCCAGGACCGATACACTATGGAGGATTAGTATTCACAGTAGTGAGTCAGGATGATTATGCACCCACTAAGAGCAAGGTGTTGCTCCAGAGAAGAGGGTGAATAATCTACTTTAGGGTGTCAATGGCATTATAACTGTCTGTGGCTCTTCTTAGAACCTCCTCCCGCACTTCCATACCCACCCTGGTTAAAAGGGGAGAGAGGGAGTAATAGTAGAAACAGCCCAAGATACATTATGACACATGTCCTTCCACCATCTTAAGTATGTCCTGCCATTTTAAAATGGAGTTGTTCAGGTTAACCAATCAATTCATTCAATTTCTAGTAAAGATTTCCCCTCTGAATTTTCCTGGACATGAACCCATGATTTCTTACATGACAGTACCTTGAGCAAGGCACCAATGTCTCCCAAGAGAGGCAGTGCAATCTGTGGTTAAGGGAAAAAAAAACAAAACAACAAACATAGATAAATGCATAGGCACAAATACACAAACAGTGAAGATATTTCTCCTCAAAATGCCATGCCATTTGAGATTTGGGAAGCAAGGCTTCTAGAGTCTCACTAGCAGGATTACTGGGGTAACGTTATGTTTCACGTTAGAAACTGACACAGAATTCAGAACTATTTTGTGGATCATGCACGATTCCTCCAGCATGAACACGCAAGCTCATGCATGTCACTGTTTTGATTCTGTATCTATATTTTCGTGACATGGAAACTGTTACATTTTCCTTCCTACATTATTGGTTTTAAGTAACAAAGACAAGTCCTTTATTAAAAGGAAATCACACCACTGACAAGCACATTGTCAGGCTGTTGAGAAACATGAAGCTGACACAGTAAGATTGCCTTGAAGTTGGTTCTCACAGAAGTTCCAAAGTATTTTAAGCTGGCTTAAGTGATGGATAAGACAGGCAGTGAGGGAAACTGGACTGTATTTGGGCCTCATATCTTAAAGTGTCCTTTCAGAGAGAGACATTCTAAGCCCAAGGAACATTTTCCGACATTTGCAAATGACGCACATCGGAGTCTCCGCAGTGGGGTTGAGTAAGTAGGGCCAGAATATGCCTTTCTTTGCACGGAGTTTATAAAGGCACATAAGACCCAAACAGTGTGGGAGGTAGAAAGGATTTGTGGTGTTTAAAACTGACAGGCCAGATTTGGATTTTATTTTACAAAACTCTTAATGCAATGTCATGTTCCATATGGCCTCTCAAATTGCAACTATCAAAGCTGAGGCTATTTAAAGAGGCTTCACTGTCACTCAAAGCAAAGTTGAACCTAAAATAAAAGTTGGAACACATGATTATTGCCTAAATTTATTTCCTAAGAGTCTCCTCAAGCCAGTTTTTATAATTTAATCATCACAGCTTCTTAAACCCACAGCATCAATGGATATTTGCTGTATTGCAGGTAACTTACCTGCAAACTTTCACTTTGAAAAGACAAATTCCTTTCGTCACTAGCATTCAAAGCACTAGAAACTGAGGACTATATATTTCTTCACAATTTTCCATGGAACTGAGACATTATGTGCTAGGACTTGGCTTGGGGCAAAGTTGTACAACTGAATTATACTTTTAGAAAATAAGTATTCACCACACACACAAAAAGGCTGATGTAGCTTGAATATTTTTTCCCCTCTACAAAATAATGGGGATAAACAAAATCAACAAGCAGTCACTGAGCATTCTAATTAGTTTGGACAACAAAAATTTGCTTGGTAGGCTGTTTGGTTTCTGGGTGCATTAAAGATACATAAATCAGGTGATGTCTGTCTACATACCGGGTCTCCTGGGGGACCTGGCAGGCCTGGTTTTCCGTCCTTCCCTGGAGCACCCTGAAAACAGAAGCATCATGTTCAAGTCCTTACACGATGATGTAGGTGCAGATTAAAGTGAGTGTAGGGTAGGTCAGGTAAAGAAGGTCCTTACATCATTCCCTGGAATTCCTGGCAATCCAGGAAGACCCCGGGGACCCTGGAAAGAAAGAAAATGAAAATAGTTACTTATGAGGACAGTCCTTCACTAATTTCCCTGGGTATGCAAGCTAGATTTGTTGTTCTGGATAACTTAAGTTATCCAGTTAAGCAGTAAGTTAAGTAGCTTACCTGAATACCTGGCTCTCCAGCCGGACCTTGGGAACCCTGGATAAAATGAGACACAGTCATCAGAATTCTACCCACAATGTCCATAAACTATCTAACTGGGACAAAAGACTAAGTGTTGTAATTTGTTTAGTGGAACAACAGGATTTTCCACCCTGCACACTCTGAATATTCCCTAAAGCTGGCCATAACTTTGGGGTGCTAAGTAAGCCTGACACCCATTGGTGGAAACGCCATGGTTCTGCTCAGACATCTGGGACCTGACTCTTATTCCATCACAGATGACTGCCCCCTTGAGGGTGTTTAAACAATGCATCCAAATTCCACCCAATCAGAAAACAACTGCCCACTGCAGTAGCCAGCCTATGGCTTCCTTTCTTCTCTTCTGTCTGTCCTGAGTCTTTTCTCACTTTGAAGGAAGAGCCCGCACCACTGCTTAGTGACAGGAATAGGAAGTAAAGCACAGTCATTTTCTGCTTCTAGAAAACCTGAATTTGGATACTAAAAATGAGGCTGAGATGATTTGAGAGCCATTAGTTCTACCCCTATCACATATCCCTGGACCACTGAAATAGGAACTTAAAACCTAATCAAGTCAAGACCTGGTTTCTTAGCAGTTGACTTCAGTAACTGCTCTCTGATTTTCCTTTCTTGTTTTTTAAAATAAATATTCCTGGCAGTGATATTGTCAAAGCCTTTGCGCGATTTCTATCTATGCTGAACCCCTGAGTTTTTCCTTAAACTCATCACGTCCTTTATAAATTCCTAATAACATTTTCTGTATTTTAAAATTCTCTGCTTCTAACAGTCTTTTATATTTTAGCTGCTATGGTTTCAGAGTGTCCCCCTAGAGCTCATATGTTAGATGATTAACGTGCAAATTCATATGCTTATATTATTTGGAGGTGAAGGGTTTCGGATCTGATGAGGTCATGAGATTGGGATTTTGCTGATGGCACTATGTAAAGAGGAAGAGGGGCTGAGCTAGTAAGCCAGCTCTGTTCACCTTGTGATGCTTAAATTGGGTCATGTTGCAGTAAGAAAGCCCTCACCAGGTGCTGCACCATGCCCTTGGACTTAGCCCACAGAACCGTGAGCCAAACACACCTTTACCCTTTATAAATCACATAGTTGCAGTATTCTGTTATTGCAACTGAAAATGAACTAAAACATTTGCCCTGAAAGAATCAAATACCAGTCATACACAACATAATCAATGACTGCTTGTGCTTTTTTTTTTTCACTTTCATGATCACTTCAATAAGGCCTGTGATATAGGGATATATGAAACATATTTGGTCTCTAGAGGCTCTTAGTTCCTGCCACAGAGCTCTCCAAATCCCTGTAATTTCCTTTGCAATAGGATTGCCAGGAGAAATGTTTCCTAATATTTTGTCTTTGATTCTGGTTCTTGACACAGAACTCCTAGTGTCTTGGTATTTCCTAGGTAATGGGAGAGCTTTTTGTTCTAATGAGGTGACTCTTTACACATACTCCATCCACTTAAAATATTAACTTAGTTTATTTTAATTAGAAATAAGCACTTATATTTAATAATTTTCTATTAGGTATTCATAACATCTTACAAGCATACATTTGTATTTTTAATACACACAGAAGTATACAGAGTGAAATGATTGCTTCTACTCTAAAGCCAGTGTGCCTGGGTCCAGAATCTGTAAGTCAATAACCAGTGATCTTGCTGTCTGTATTTGTGACACAGCCCAGTGGCCACCAGTCCCCTCTCACTAATGTTTACTGGCATTTCTGTCTCTGACCTTTTCATTCTTTTCTCGCTATGAAGACTCATCATTGGATTCTGCTTCATAATATTGGAATAAACAATATTGGAAGAACTAGCATGGATTTCACTCACTGTTCTGCCAGGAATCCCTATCCCCGGTGGACCTGTGTCACCCGGGGAACCCTGGACACCGGGCAGTCCTCTCTCGCCCTGGGAAAGGAGATGTTTCTGTTAGTGCGAGGTTCAAAAGACACAGGTTTTTCTGTTACATTTTGTTAGTTATTCATTCCTTTAAAATTAGCTGTATTTATATACCTTTGGCCCACGTGGACCAGGTGCTCCAGGATTTCCATCTAAACCCTAAAAGAAAAAAAAAAAACAAACCTGAGGTAAATACATTTCTTTTTCTAAAAATATTAAAAATATGTTACAAGTCATCATTTAAAAATCGTTCATTGCTGTTCATTTCACTGAATAAGCCTTCTTCTGCAGATAGAAGAAAGATTAAGGAATAAACTTCTAGGGCCAGGGATATAGCTTAGTGGCACAAACACCTTCCTGGCAAGTGCAAGGTCCTGAGTTTGATTTCCGGCACCAAAAAAAAAAAAAAAAAAAAGGAACAAATTTCTATAGGCTATTAATTTTATAGCTTTTTGAAACTATGAAGTTTCTAGCTATGAGTCATCTCATGTTGAGAATTCTTATTATTAATTCATGTAAAAGGTTTAAGTTCAAAGACAATGAGAAAGAAGGCATGAAAGACAGGCATGTAACACTGGAGATCCAGTTTCTACATCTTGAGAAAGTCTGGATCTCAGAGATGTGTTTTGCAAATGGTAACCTATGGCATCATTTGCAAAGCCACTGGAAGGGAAATGTCAGGCAGTTCTCCTCTAAAACAGTTTCCTTAAATATTTTACGTTTAAAACCAGTGTTCTGAGATCCAAAGCTCTGGAAGGAATCTCTGTACAGTGTTCAGGCAGTCAACGACTCTTCCAAAATGACATGCAAAATGTGGTGTGCAAGGTGTGTCTTTTGGAAGAGAACCTTTTACTTGTATTAAAGTTTCAAGGGAGTTATACCTCTCATCTACAGAATAAGATGAATCCTTCTTTTTTGGTGGGGCAAAGCTTATACTTGTGCTTTGAAACTGGCATAACACAAAGAGTTATGAGTGAACATTCAAGGGAAATATTTGTACTTACTGGCTCCCCTGGTAGGCTCTTCCCTGCAGGACCGGTCTCACCCTTTGGACCTGGAAGTCCTGGAGGGCCCATAATCCCCCCTGGATCTCCCTGAGGAGAACAAAATGAGATTCTTGCTTATTTCTCAGGTTCATGACAAGTGGGGAGACAATGGTCTCCACTGGTTTAACTTGCCATCATAGCTGGTCAAATCCACTCACTCTCAGTCTACTAAGTTCCTATTTTGCATTAAACATTGTTCTATTTATATACATTTAGATTTTTGTAACGAGTAATGCTATAAATTAGGGAGTATCATGAAATATATACATGTGTAAAGGTATAGGCACAAAAAGGCATAGCTGTTCATAAAGTTCTGATGAACTTTATGGTCATGTATTTCCTACTAATAATTTGATATTGATATGGTATTTCCATGGAGATATCAAAAAACAGGCCCTGAAAAAATAAGAGACTTCCTAGGTCTGTAGCTGTGGGGAGCCGAGCCTGACACAGACTCTGGGGCTGACATCTTCATCTCTAAGTTAGTTTGTTAGGACAGATGGCATTTCTGCACCTGAACCAGGGCCGCTGCAAAGCACAGCCCCTGAGAGTCATTTTGTGTTGTTCTTTCACGGCTTCAAGCCCCTTAGAACCCTTGATCTTCCCACCTACCTCTCTACTTTATAAACAAAGTAAGTACAGTGTAGACCATACCTTTTCTCCTTTAAGACCTTGTTTTCCTGGGATACCGTGTTCTCCTGGCAAGCCCTAGAAAATCCAGAATCCAATGAGAAGAGTAATCAAATATCTCTTACTATAATAACATTTCTATCTGTGAATCTTTGGTAACAGAGAATAATTTTAACGTATACTCTATAATGGAATGAGTGAATTTAGCCAGTTAGGGAAAAGCAATAGTCCAAAACGTGTGGCTTGTTGTTCCCAAGAGGTCACCTGGATATCGTACGCAAAAACCCAACATGAGCCAAAAAGGAGAATCATAGCAATGTCCCATTCATGCTACTGCCAAGAAGAGATGGAAGGGTGGAGTGGCACCATCTTACTGTGTTTCCAAGTGACAACACAGTGACTAGGAAAACAAGCACTAATATGTCTGGGCAGCAGTGGCTCTTCCTTTTTTATTTTATTCTCTTTTTAACCCCAGCCATTATCATTTGATCCTACTCCTTGAATATCTTGTGGCTCCACCTGTTCACCTAGCATTTTCTCTCTTTGCTAAGGTCTTCCCCCCACTAGGCAGCCCTGCAGTGCCCCCTTAACTAGTAGGGATGATTGGGGAATGAAAAGGTTTGTTGTGAACTGTAGGTTCAAAACACCAAAGAGAAGGTGAGCGCTGAACAATAGACCCTGGAGGCTCAGGCAGTGAGCAAGAGAGACAGAGAAAGAGGTCATGAAGCTGCTCGCAAGATGATGGAAAAAGGAGAGATTCTACGGTGGCCTCGAGGAAACCCTGTGGTCCAGTGACAGTCAGTTTCCAAGAAGGTGTGGCTGAGTAGTTTTGTCACTTTCTCAGGTGTGAGTGGATGGTGAACTCTCAGCTCTCCCTCTTGTCAGTAGGGGAGGGAGGTTGTCCAAGAGACCATGTGTTGAGGAGGGGTAAGAGAAGGAGAAGTGTTTTTAAAAAGCATGGATATCAGAGAGAGAGAGAGAGAGAGAGAGAGAGAGAGAGACAGAGACAGAGACAGAGACAGAGACAGAGAGAAACACAGAGAGAAACACAGAGAGACAGGGACAGAGAGGGAGAGACAGAAAGACAGAGACAGAGAGACACAGACAGAGAGACAAAGACAGAGTGAGATGGAGACAGACAGAGAGACGCAGAGACAGACAGACACAGACAGGAAGGACAGCAAATACTTTCAGCCAAAAGAACTGCTGGTCACCCCCTACGTGACGTATGATCGGTTTTGGTGGTGTAAGCAACCCACGTCTTTGGAAAATTTAGCGTAACTCAGTTATGTAAATGGATGTGGATATTTTTTTAAACATATCACAGTTTCAATCTCATTTCCAAGTATTGAAGACGCCATACATACGACATCTCCTGGTGGTCCTCTGGGCCCCATGGAACCTGCAGGTCCTTGCTGACCCTAAACCAAGAGGTGACATATGCTTTTTAAGTTTGCTTTAAAAGTAGACTATACTTGAATATTTATAACCTGCTTTACTCATTGCCTGGGCACGCCCTTATCTCTTCTTTGCCACCCAAAAACTTCTTTTTGGCAACATTCCTGCAGAATTGTACATGGGAAACACTAACACCTCAGGGTTGCCTAATTTTGGGATGGAAACAGAATCTTGAATCCTATTTCTTTTAAGAAAATAGCTCAAGGTCATGGATTTAGCTCATGTTTATTCTTAAAACTTTTAGGGATACTATTGTGAACATACTCTGAAAAATAATTTTAAAATCCTATTGTGAACCGAAAAGTACAGTTACTATGTGTGTAATAAAGGGAGTCAGTGTGTGTGTGTATATGTGTAGTCACTACGGAAACAAGATAAATCTCAGAACATCTGCGAAGAAAATGAATGACACACCAAAGCATCTTTAAAAATATGGAATGGCTATAATTCCCAAATCGTTTCCTAATATATGTTGGTGACTTCTTTAATACCTTCAGTCCTGGGCTTCCTATTAAACCAGGTGGGCCAGGGTCTCCAGGTTCTCCCTAAACATATGAGTGGGGAAGAAAGTTAAATGTTACTATAATTTTCACAATCCCATTAAGGCTGGAGATGCAATTGACAAATGTCAGAAGATTACCTTTATTCCCTGTGATCCCATTATCCCAGGTTCTCCCTGTAAATAAAATAATCACCATATGGGTAACACATCAGTTCAGATGGCACTGGATGTCTGATACTTTAATTGCATTTCCACTAATTAACATACAACAAAGGGGGAAATTATGGAAGAGATGATGAAATCAAGGAGGCTTCATTCTAAACCATGAATCAAAACACTTACAGCTAGTACATAAGTAATACTTTATGTTCTTTCTTCATAGTTTTTTCCCAGTAGCATTTTTTACATCGTGTTATATTAGCAACACTGCATTTTCTGTTTAGTAGACACAATGGCTATGATTTGCCACCAACTACAATAAATCCCTACACATTTGAGTGGCAAGCTTTCACAGGTGTACTGTATAAAAGTCACTGCATCAGGGGGGCTGGGGATTTAGCTCAGCGGCAAAGCGCCTGCCTGGCAAGCGCAAGGTCGTGAGTTCGGTTCCCGGTACCGGAGGAAAAAAAAAAAAAAAAAAGTCACTGCATCAGATTATGAACAGATATGACTTAACAACGTTCTCCTAGAAGGGAACTCATTCATAAGTCAGGGACTTACTGTAATCTTGTTTCCAAGAGAAATAAAACTTCAATGAAGCGAGTGGGAGAACAGACTTTAAGGTGATATGTGTTGGTGTATAGTACTAGTAGGTACTATATATGCACTTTATTTAAAAAGAAGAAAAAAAATTAAGATTACATAAAGAAGGCAGCATGGCCTATAATGAATTTTCTTTTCACTAGGCATTAAGCCAATGGATAAATCCTATTTGTGTCATTAGCAGGCCGTTTAAAAAAACAGTATCTTCTATTTCAATTTAGTAGTTTAGACATCCTAAGGGGATGTCTTTTCTAACATTCATGTCCAATCACTAATAGAAGTGGGTTAAAGAAAGCATAAATAAGCCAAAACCAATGTTAAAGTATCATCACATGATAGCATTTAGCAAGGTTTAAAATGGAAGAGTAAAAAAGTCACAGAAGAAGAAGTAAAATACTCAGGAAGCTTATTTTATCAAAACTACTAAGCTCTAAGGTAAGCGTAACAGAAATCAGAAAGAGAAATCAATGAAGTAGAAAACCCAAGGCAGTGATAAAACATCTACTTACCCTGTCTCCTTTTTCACCTTTTATAAAAGGTTCCCCCTAGGAAAATGGATAGAAAACAGAATCAATGATAAACAGGTTTAGAAACAAACTTTCTACAGCTGGGCATGGATAAATCCTGGAGGCCAGACTAAGACCACAAATGCATACATATAGTCTGCTTTTGTAGCTGCAGCTGAAAGAGAGTGTGTAATAATTAATTTACAAACTCCTTTCTATTTCCAAGCAAACATTGAGTTAAGTATTCTAATACTATTTGGAGAATCCTGAGCAGGTGACAAGTTGACATGCTGCCCATGGCTAAGGCTTCCTATTGTCTGATGAAGATGAATGATCCCATACAAATGTGCTCTCAGGGAAACAGTAGGGGTGACCGTGAGAAAGAGTAAACGGAAAGGTGTTCATTGAGTTCTTCCAGTTGGCTACCTCTGTGCCTACCCATATGAAATCATTATTTAGAAAATACTTTCCTAGTTTTCATGTTCTATTAAAAATGATTGGGGGGCTGGGGATTTAGCTCAGTGGCAAAAGCGCCTGCCTGGCAAGCGCAAGGTCATGAGTTCGGTTCCTGGTACTGGAGAAAAACCAAAAAAAAAAAAAAAAAAAAAAAAAAGATTGGAAGGGGATTAATTGCTGAGTAAATAACAGCGCAAGTAGTGTAATGATTCTTCCTGGGGAGAGATGGCAGGTTTGCGGGACACCACTGATGAACCAACGTTCTCCTCCTCATCACGGAATTATTCCTACGCCTCTACGCATGCATGCATGCACAGGAAGTCTTTTCTGTTCTCCAAGTTACATGTACATGGTTTTATTTAATCTTCAAAAAGCACTGTTGTCCCATTTTAACCATGGTGAAAGAAACCCAGAAAAGTCAAAGAAATGGCTGTCTTTGCTCTCCTAAAGTAGCACCCACCACCCTTTGTATTTCTTTCTTTATCTTGGCTACAAACTTTGTGAGTGTAGGGATGAAATTCATCCTCACAACCACAGCATCTGTGGTATCTCAGAGAGAGACATGCTTAATGTCTAATTAAGTTTATTAAATTACTTAGTTTAAAGTGAGGCAGATATAATAACAATAGTTAACATTTATCGAATTCTTGACAATGTATCAAGCACTGTTCTAATCACTTTACGTATATTAACATAGCTAACCCTCAGGTATCAGTGAGGTTGGTGCTATATACAAGGAGGAACAGGCACAGAGAAATTAAATAATTTCCCCAAATGTGGGGCATAGTGGCACATGCGTGCAATCCCAGCACTCTGGGAAGCTGAGGCAAGAGATTATAATTTTAAGTGCAGTCTAGGCAATTTAGCTTTGTCTCAAAATAAAAAAACAGTTTAAAGGGCTAAGAATATAGCTCATTGCAAAGGCCCTGGCTTCAATCCCCAGTATTGTGTTTTTGCTTTTTGTTTTTTTCTCTTAGAAAGGATTGCTATTTGCTTGACTGGATCACTTGTGGGAGGAGAGTAGCTGCTAAAGGGTCTTCTGTGCTTTTTATCACATGACCTATGTATTAGGGCTGATGGGTTGAATCTTCCTCTCCCACATTTCCCAGGCCCCTTGCAGTTATACAGGGCCATGTAACTAATTGTGGCAATGCGATGTCACCAGAAATGGCACCCCCTGAATGCTGGCAGTGGGAGAGAAAGCCAGAGAAAATCCCTAGGAAGGAAAAGACCTCTCCTGCCTAGGAACCATGAAATCTTCCAACCCTTGCTTCTCAGCACGTCGTCTGTGGACAAAGGCATCAACTTTGCCTGAGGGCTGGGGAGAAAGGTCAGCCTTCAAGCTGTCTACATTCCTACTGAACTGGAGTCCACATGACTCAGGTGCGTGCTTACAGTTGACAAATATTGTCCTAACTTATAGAAAGTTTCTATTTTCTGCTCCATGACGCTCTGCTTTTCCAGTGGAATCATACTGCCAAGTCCTGTATGTTTCCCACAGAAGTTAAGAGAAAGAGGGTGAGTGGGCATTAGTGTTCAGGCTGGGAGGCGACACCATCGAGACCCGGAGCCACACCTAGAAGATGGCAGGGAAACCTTCCACCTGGAGAAACTGGGCAGATGGAAAAAGCAGTGACCACCGGGTGGCCCTTCCAGGATGTCCCTGAAATACGCAATTGGAGAATGCTGTGAAAGACTGTCAGGTCCTGGGTCACAGTCAGAGACTTGGACTGGAACCTAAGCAAACGCGGCCCTGGAAGGTAAAGTAAGGGGGGTGCATCCGTGCAGTCCTGTACGGATTTTAAAACTGCCTGAGCAAAACCACCGTCATTGCTAACAATGCCCAAGTATCGAAGCTGAAGCTTTTGGGAAAATTTGGCTTTGTGACATTAAATACTTTTATCATTATCTGTGCTTGACATTCAAACATTAATGACCTTTAGCTCTTTATCACCTAGTGAACCAATATCCCTAATTTACCCTGGCAAGGAAATAGGTAAAAGGGACTTAGAAGATGTATTACGTCTTTAATGTAATACCTTAAGGAATTCTGATGGATTAAATTAGTTAATACAGGTAAAGGCCTTAGTTCTGGACACAGTATACACTTACTTACAAATGTGATCTACGTCCAAGGCATACAAAATTGGGGCTGATTTGGAAGAACACTTTAATTCTATTTTGGGGATAGTCTCTGCCCTCAAGGCTAAAATACTTACAGGTTCTCCTTTTTGTCCTTTAGAGCCAAAAGACTCTGGAAATACTGACAGTCCAGTTTCACCCTGTTAAGAAAAAGCAGAGGGGAGATTTTGTAGATTTGACAGGTGCTGTGTGACACCGAGTCCAGAGTGACTGCTTGCTTCTCCTCTAACCACGGAAGTGTCTTCTGGTGTCTAAGACTCTGTGCAGAGTTCCTCATCTAGTCAGGATCTTTGCATAATAATATGTTGCCGGCACTTCCTAAGGCCTTTAGGTCTTTTAGAAATCCATAGCATTCTGGGGCTGTGGATTTAGCTCAGCAGCACAGTGCCTGCCTGGCAAGCACAAAGTTGTGAGTTCAATTCCCGTGAACCGGAAAAAAAGAAAAACAAAAAACAAACAAGAAATCCATAGCATTTCATCATGCTATTTAAAGTTATGGTGAAACAATGCTAATTAATTTTTAAGGGAAGAATACCTGGAGGAGAAAATGTTCTGGTATACAAAAAAAAAAAAAAAAAAAAAAAAAAAAAATAAAATTCTTATGTGACTCCTAACAATCCTAATCGTCCAGACTCCTCTTGTGTCAGATACCTCATATTTTCTTTTTTCTTTTTTTTTTTTTTTTGTAGGCTGCAGGGAGAGTCAGTGGTCATAGGGTGAAGAGTTAGACACCTGCTGTGCATACCATTTATACAGCTGCTTAGACACCTGGCTTCTGACAAGAAGCTTAGAAGTGTCTGAGATGTTCTGGTCAGAAATCTTGAAGAGGGATTTCTATGTGATATATGCAGAGTATTTCCAGAAAATACAGTTTGAGGGGGAATATTTTAGAAAGGAATTCTATCTGTAATTGGACTCCAGAGGAGTCCTGGCATTATGCTTCCTTTTAGCATTTGCTGAGATCACCAAATAACCATCTATTTCTTAAATTGAACACAGCTATCAACAGCTATCTCTTTTTTTTCCCCCAATCTTAAGGGCATTGTTGTAAAATGATATGCACCATTACATCTTGTCTTTCTTTTTTGTTTTGTTTTTTTTTTGTTTGTTTTTTGTTTTTCTCTGGTACCGGGAACCAAACTCATGACCTTGCGCTTGCCAGGCAGGCGCTTTGCCACTGAGCTAAATCCCCAGCCCCTTGTCTTTCTTTTTATTTTAAAAACACAGTAAACAAAATATGATATGGCAAACCTTCCTAAGCACCAAGTACTCAAAATGAAAGAAATTTAAAAATTTACAGTCAAAGGAGAAATGCTCTGTAATTTCTCTGTATTCTCATCTCGGGGTAGGGGTCACCCTCATGGATTTACTATTTATCTTTCAGTCTATATTTTTGTGGCATATGTGGAATCATATACACTATATGATTTTGAGTATTTTAAACAAACTCTACTAATATCTTTTGTGCAACATTCTCTGACTTTTTGTTTTCACTCAACTTTTGTTTTTTAAGACAACCCCTCTGTAACGGTACCCTTGATTGTGTTCCATTCTGACGGTCAGTGCTCCACTGATGGGGACATGGGTTGCCCTGACCTTTGTTCCACACAGAGTGACAGTAAATAGCTTTTATCCTGTCCCTTGTGTGGGTATCTCCTGTGTGTCCATCTCTCTATTCGAAGACATCTGTACCTCAAAGTACATCAGATATGCATTAATTACAGTCCTAAGATCTTTGACTTATTTCTACATTTCTGTCATCATCCATATTTTGGGATCTTATGAAACAGATCATTATAACCATTTAAAAAACTCTTTCTTCTAGATTTGTGGAATAATGTATTTTGGAAGAGTAATTATGACTTTGTTCAATATCTTAAAACTTAGTACCAAATTTTCATATTACGAAGCTCTTAGCCAATGATACCAAAGCCATGTTTGCCAGAGATAAGGAATCAAACAGAAGAAAAGGTAATTCACAGACTTGTTAGTTGTATGCATATTCTTCAGCAGAGTTTCCCAAAGTTTGGCCATCTGTGTACTAACTGCATAATTTTTGCTATGTCCACATACCACCTGTGTATTAATAGGTTATTTTTTCTCTGGATTTAGTTATATTTTAAACATTTTAATTTTCAATACTTAATATGTTCTTTTAAGTAATATCCATGAAATTTAGTACACTGGATATATATTTTTGTACTAATACAAAGCAAATTACAGAAGCATTTATCCTTCTAGCATCTAAACCTTTAGTGCAATCTCAGGCCTTACACTCACGGCATTGCAAGACAAGTCATTATTTTTCCTGTAGAGATAGTAGATTGTATCCAAAGGAAGAAGAAAAGGAAGTTATTGGATGCTTCATTGTACCAATTGTTGTGAATGAAAGAAGAAATAAACAGTTGTCCTATTCAAGCATTAAAATGACCTTCCTGTTACCACAAGGTAGATGCTAAAATCTGTGGTACATCATAGGAATGAAAATTATGCCTACTCCCTAGACTCACCTAATAAAATAAAAGTAGAAAGCAGGAAAAAGGTCTGTAAGTTACTTATAAAAATGACATCTGCCCACAATCAAAGAGGGAGGGCAGAAGAATTTCCACAGAGGACTGAGAGTAATCATATTCATAGATGCTATACTCATGAACCAATATAAACAGAAAACTCTAGTGAAATGCCAAGGAAGGATTGAACAGAGGCTGAGGCCCATGTCTGGGGATCTGGTCTTGGAAGAAACCTTGTCCTTCATGTAAAACCTGCAAACAAGAGCATTTACATCCAAATCTCAGACACACACAGGTTGCTTCTTGTATTGTAAATGGGTGTTCAATGCTTTGTCATTGTGAACATGAGGTAAGACTTTGTTAGGCATCGGGAAAAACTGTGCTTCTGTTTGACACCTGTGATGCTATTTCAACAGCCATGAGCTGTAGAGACCGTATCCTGTCCTCTTGGAAATCTACTCACAAAGACACCCGCTACTCTCTCAGGAGTCTTTATTCCGCCACCTTGTTCTACTGACTGTATAAAGCAGCCATTCCTCTCAAGCATTTTGCAAATACGTGGTCTCAATCACTATGTCCTTTCCTCCTCAGGCAAGCTACAGAATAGGAGCCATCATTCTAATCCTGGTAGACTGTCACATACATGGGAGTGGTGGCAACCCCTGCTGTTCACTGTTAAGCCCGAGTTGTGTCCCTTGGTGCTTCTCCTGGTCTCAGGGTCCTTGACACTGGATATGGCTACTAAAGCAGAAGTAATCTGTGTGCATATCCTAAGTCTGTCTGTGCTCATTCTGGTGTCTCTCTGTGATCCTGGATTCCAAACGCTAGGTGCTGAGAAGTGACCTATTATACAGCAGTGCTAAGATATCTACGTGCTTAGATTATACTTTGACTTAACTCTTTCTCCTACAACACAAGTCGAGATCCTTCTTTGTAGGAATTTGGCAGAAGATGCAAAGAGGAGGAAGGTAAGGTGGTAAGGATGGTGGCAATCAATACCACAAAGAGCTGAGACCTCAAGAGATGAAAGAAAGTGTAACGTGGGTGAACAGAAGAGAAATATCTTTCGTGTGAGCTTTATGTAACAGGAACTGTGCGTTGAGGAAAACTCGTCTCATCTGAGGTTAATCCTCCCATTAGCTTTTCGCATAAGAGTTGGTTATGCCCATTATATGGTTAAGGGGCTTAAAGAGGCTTGGAGAGATAAATGGCTTTCCCAAAGTGACACAACTATAAGTCCCACAATTAACTGTGGGTCCCAAAGCCTACCCTTTTCCTGCCATTCAATGGTTCTCACCCTGGCGGCATGTTAGAACCCTGTGAAGTACTTTTCAATAATGAAGATATCTCCCCTAAACCCAGAAATCAAGGCGTGTGTGGGCTGAGGCTTGAGCATAGGTAATTCTAATGTGCAGTGCGGTCCTGGAGCCCTGGGGCTCCACCCACGCACAAGCAAAGGCCTACGGGGGAGGTTGGAGGGAGTTATTGATTTCCACCCTGGTGACTCATGAACAACATTATAATTTTAAAATATATTCATTCAGAATGGAAACAAAGTGTATATAAGTAGAGTTGGTTTCACTTTTCTAGCAACTGCTATATGTATATCTACACAGTACATTTCAGCAGTCTTTCCTCTGTTAATTAGAATTGTAAAAAACCCTTTTACGGGCACGTTTCTCTCAGGTACCACACCAAGTTCCCTGGAGACTCTTGAAGTTATTTATTTGGGTGGGAGGAGGGAACAGTTATGCCACTGGCTTACTCTAATTCCACTTAAGATTCTGAAGCAATTAGAAAAGATTCTGAGCAATAACAAGGGTCCTCCGAGTTGGAAATACACCTGTTTTACAGAATCAAATTTCTCATCAGTGAGGTCTTAAGAATTCCTAAGTGACATATGTTTCCTAATGAACACAGCAAAGGAGAAGCCAGCTGTTTTGTTTCAAGAAATGAATCATCATTTAAATGCTTTAAAAGTGTCACAACTCCCTTCTTTGCTCAGCTGTCCTATGTGACGAGCTTTGTGGCGTTCCTTTTTGCTTTTACTTCTTCCTCTTGCCCGCATATGCCCAGAAAGAATTGCTGAACATGTAACACATTTGTTACGGCACAGTCTGGTTTCTACAAGCTGCTGGGTTACAGGAAATAACGCAAATGGACTCGCCGTAAAATCCAGGACATACAAATGACTTCCACTACTATGTAATCTTTTTCTTTTTAATCTCTTTCAGAGTGTCAAGGTTTTTTATTTATTTATTTATCAGCAGAAAATTTCATCTTCAATGGTTAATCTATAAGAAAATCCTCGTTTCTGTAGAAGCTATCTTTCAGCAGTATTTTCTGGTGAGGGATATATGATCTTCTGAATAGCTTGGCTGCCCAGATTTATAAGGCACAGAAGTCGTATTTACTTGGAATCATGTTGAAATACCTTGCCTTCAATAAAGACGATTTTTACTGGGTGAATGAATGAAAGCAGTGCTTCCAGGCCTCCTTCCCTCAGAGTATTTTCAAATCTGCTCATCTCTGTCTGTAGCTTTAATGTGCATTATTTTTTTTTCTTGACAATGGCGCATTCACACTGAATCCAAGGTCATCCCAATTTTAGAATCAAATGGGAGTGAGAC